CGAGGTCAGGAGTTCAAAACCAGCCTGAGCAAGAGCGAGACCCCGTCTCTACTATAAATAGAAAAAAATTAATTGGCCAACTAATATATATAGAAAAAAATTAGCCGGGCATGGTGACGCATGCTTGTAGTCCCAGCTACTCGGGAGGCTGAGGCAGTAGGATCGCTTGAGCCCAAGAGTTTGAGGTTGCTGTGAGCTAGGCTGATGCCATGGCACTCACTGTAGCCTGGGCAACAGAATGAGACTCTGTCTCAAAATAAAATAAAATAAAATAAAATAAATAAAAGATAAATAAAACCCAGCATCTACTCCTGATTTTATTTTATTTTATTTTTGAGACAGAGTCTCACTTTGTTGCCCAGGCTAGAGTGAGTGCTATGGCATCATGCCTAGCTCACAGCAACCTCAAACTCCTGGGCTCAAGCGATCCTTCTGCCTCAGCCTCCCGAGTAGCTGGGACTACAGGCATGCACCACCATGCCTGGCTAATTTTTTCTATATATATTAGTTGGCCAGTTGGCCAATTAATTTCTTTCTATTTATGGTAGAGACGGGGTCTCACTCTTGCTCAGGCTGGTTTCGAACTCCTGACCTCGAGCAATCCGCCCACCTCGGCCTCCCAGAGTGCTAGGATTCCAGGCGTGAGCCACCGTGCCCGACCCTACTCCTGATTTTAAAGAACACTTAGTACTATAGCTTTTATGAGATATATGACAAATCAAAAGCAGCTTCATGATTATTGATGAAATAGCAGAAGCATCCTCATGAAACTTTCAGGAAAAAGAAAAGGTAATCTTCTGATACCAGTGACATTTGAGATTGTTCTAAAAGTCCTAGCCAAAGCAATTAGAAAAGAAAACAAATTACAAGATGCAATGAAGAGATAAAATTATCATTATTTGAAAGTGATATGACTAATTTTGGGGAACTCAAGAAAATAAAATGAAAGATATTAGGAAAAACAAAAGAATTCTGTAGATATCTGGTTTAAAAATTAATATAGTGGCCAGGTGTGGTGGCTCATGCCTGGAATCCTAGCACTCTGGGAGGCTGAGGCGGGTGGATCGCTCAAGGTCAGGAGTTCGAGATCACCCTGAGCAAGAGAGAGACCTCGTCTCTACTAAAAATAGAAAGAAACTAATTGGCCAACTAAAAACATATAGAAAATATTAGCCGGGCATGGTGGCACATGCTTGTAGTCCCAGCTACTTGGGAGGCTGAGGCAGGAGGATCGCTTGAGCCCAGGAGTGTGAGGTTGCTGTGAGCTAGGCTGACGCCACAGCACTCTAGCCTTGGCAACAGAGTGAGACTCTGTCTCAAAAAGAAAGAAAGAAAGAAAGAAAGAAAGAAAGAAATATATAAAAATCAACAGCTTTGCTATATAGATAAAGGGTCTAAAAACTGGCCTGCAGGCCAAAGCCAGCCCCACAGCCTGTTTTTGCAAATAAAGTTTTATTGGAACACAGCCATGCTTATTCATTTATGTATTATCTACCACAGTGAAGTTGAGTAACTGTGAGAGGGAACATATGATCCACAAAACCTAAAATATTTCACCCTTTTACAGAAAATGTTTGCCAACTCCTCCTATAGCTAAAGAATAAGTTAGAAAATAAAATGGAAAAAAAGACACACATACACCCTTTTTTTGAGACAGAGTCTCACTATGTTGCCAAGGCTGGAGTGCAGCAGTGGCAGAATCTTAGGTCATTGTAACCTCAAACTCCTGGGCTCAGGTGATCTTCCTGATCTTCCCACTCCAGCCTTCTGAGTTTCTAGGAGTACAGGTGCCACCACCACACCTGGCTAATTAAAAAAAAAATTTTTTTTTAGAGATGGGACTCTTGCTAAATTGTCCAGGCTGGTCTCCAACTCCTGGCCTCAAGGGATCCTCTTACCATGGCCTCGCAAAGTACTGAGATTACAGGCATGAACCACCATTCCCAGCCCCAAATTTTTACTACAAAAAAATATAAGCTATCTAGAAATAAACTTTTTAATATGTAATTATTATATATGAAGAAAACCTCACAACTGTACAGATAGATATAAAAGGAATGTGAATAAATGGAATTATGTATTTTATTTTCCTACTAAACAAGATTTTTTCTAAATTAATCATCAGTACCCTGCAGCCAAAAACCACCAGGAACACATCTATCATTGAACAAATTGGGTTTATTATTATTGCACTAAGGGGCACCTGAGTAAGAGAACGTTAGGACTTGTAAGATTTGTGCTTGTATTGGGTGATTTGGGGAAGGGTTTGAGGAAGCAAGGTTTCTCTCTGGATTGGATGTTAATAATATGGGTATTTCCCATAATGTGGTAATGTGGGTATTTTTTTTTTTTTTTTTTTGAGACAGAGTCTCACTTTGTTGCCCAGGCTAGAGTGAGTGCCATGGCATCAGTCTAGCTCATAGCAACCTGAAACTCCTGGGTTCAAGCAATCCTGCTGCCTCAGCCTCCCATAATGTGGGTATTTCTATGATGGACTATCTTAACAACTCTTACCTAGGAGAGAAGACTATATGGAGGCTAATGCTGTAATTGGTAAAGAAACAACAGTCACTATATTAGCCAAGAAAGAGGGATGTTTCATCACCTTTGTGATTTGAACAACGCTCATGTTTTGCTGGTGTCCAGACCAGATAATGGAGTGCTTTTGTTTTGGTATAGCTCCCTTATAGTCACAGAGTGACCTTGTCCAATGTTGATGTTCTGTGAAATTTATGTTCATCAGAACACCAAGGCTAGCTCCTGGATGTCCAGGGATGCTTTTCTTTTTCTCAAATGTATAAATTAAATGCAATATTAGTCCACATTTCCAGTTTTGCATGCATTTGTTTTATGGGAGAATCTGACAAAGCATATCTAAGTTTAGTATCTGAACAAATAGACATTAGAGAACAGTTAAGGAACCAAGAGACATTCTGGAAGGCCAACGGGGGAGAATTGAGCGAGCTCAGGAGAGACCTAACTCAGCAAAACCCCATCACTACAGAAATAGAAAAATTAGTGGAGTGTGGTGATGTGCACCTGTAGTCCCAGCTACTACGGAGGCTGAGGCAGGAGGACCACTTGAGCCTCGGTCTCAAAAAATAAAAATAAAAAAGAAAGGAAAGAGGAAGGAAGGGAGGGAGGAACGAAGGAAAGAAGGAAGGGAGGGAGGAAAGGAGGGGAAGAGGAAGGTAAGAGGAAGGAAGGGGAAGGAAGGAAGGAAAGAAAGGAAGAAGACAGAAACCAAAACAGAATCGTGAGATCTAAAAGACATAAAAAGAAAATGTTGGCCGGGCGCGGTGGCTCACGCCTGTAATCCTAGCACTCTGGGAGGCCACGGCGGGCGGATTGCTCAAGGTCAGGAGTTCAAAACCAGCCTGAGCAAGAGCGAGACCCCGTCTCTACTATAAATAGAAAAAAATTAATTGGCCAACTAATATATATAGAAAAAATGAGCCGGGCATGGTGGCGCATGCCTGTAGTCCCAGCTACTCGGGAGGCTGAGACTGGAGGATCGCTTGAGCCCAGGAGTTTGAAGTTGCTGTGAGCTAGGCTGACGAAAGAAGGGCACTCTAGCCTGGGCAAAAGAGCGAGACTGTAAAAAAAAGTATAAAATATTTTTAAAAATAAATGAAAAATTAAAGGAAAAAAACGTTGGACTGGACCGCAGCGAAGCGCCTCGCAGAGAGACTCCGCTTCCCAGGGGGCTCCGCGCGCCCTGTGCCCGTGCTCCCGAGAGTCCTTGCGCGCTTTCCGCGCCAGCTTCGGCCTCAGCGGGCGAGTGGCAGGGTCGCGGCGGCGGGAGGATGGAGAGTAGCGACGAGGCTGCCATCGAGAAGCACCGCGTCCACTTGCGCCCCGTCACGCTTCGCAACGCCGCGCCCGCTGCGCTGCACCTGCTGCCCTGTGAGGTGCTGGTGAGCCAGTCGGCCCCCGTGGGGCGCTTCTTCACGCCCGCCATCCGCCAGGGTCCCGACGGTGAGCGTCGCAGCCGGACTACGAATCCCGGCAGCCCTCGCGTTCCTTGGCGCCGGGCTCCTGGGGATCGCGGTCTCCCTAGAGGTGGTGGGAGGGCCGCCCCGGGCTTGCCCCGCTGGGCTTGGGCCCTAAGGCCTGGGTCGGTCCCTGACCGAGGCCCTGCACCTCCGTCTCCAGGACTCGAAGTGTCGTTTCGGGGCCGCAGTCTACGGGGCGAGGAGGTGGCGGTGCCGCCGGGCCTCGTGGGATACGTGATGGAGAACGAAGAGAAGTTTATAGGGAAGCAGGACTTCTCGGGGGCTTTGGAAAGTGACAATCAGGAAGAGGAGCGGGAGCCGCTGGAGCGGGACTTTGTGAGCAAAGGGATAGGGTTGGAAGCGGGTGCGGGCGGGAGCCGCGGTCTGGAAGCTTGAGCCCGGCCCCTTCCCCAGGACCGCTTTATGGGAGCCACAGCCAGTTTCAGCCACTTCACCCTGTGGGGCCTGGAGACCATCCCTGGCCCGGATGCCAAAGTGCGCGGAGCCCTAACTTGGCCCAGGCTCGCTGCAGCGGTGAGTAGAGGGATGGGCTACCCCTGAATCTTGCCCATGAGCGGATTTGAAGCATTAGAGCCGGGGAAACACTGCGGGGCAGATGGAGCCTGGGATGACTGCAGTATTCTTCTGGGTAGCGTGGAAAGAGTGGCTTCCTTACTGCTTTTCTCTGGCCTGTCTAGAAGGGGTTATCATTTCCTGAGCAGCTGGGTCCCTCCCCAGGTATGTAGACCACCCATTCACTATAGCTTAGAAATGCAACAGTAGAGGTGACCCCCTATTGCAGATTCACGCACAGGTGCCAGAGGACTGAGAGCCAGAGCTTGACGTTGAAAGCCATCGATACCACATCGATAAACCAGCTCTTCACTTTGGAGCCAGACTCCATCACTCCAATAAACAAGCTCTTCACAGCACCTGTGAGTCTGTGGGTGCCTTGGAGCCCTAAGCCAGCATGGCCCCCTCTCCCACAAGAACTTCTCATGGGTCTGGCCTGTAGAAACATTTTATTGCCAGGGGTAATGGGGTAAGAGAGGCCAGAATTTTGCAGCCAGTACCCACCCCACCCCAAACTCCTACTTTACAAAAGAAATTTTTACAATCACCAGCCTTCTGTACAGAGTATCCCCACCCCCCCCACCTCACTGTACACAGCTGCCTGGCTCCCTCTGGTCCCTGGTTCAGAGCAGGCCTGGGCCTACAGCCAGCTGACCCTGGAGTTGGCCTGAGCCCTGAGCTCACCGTGGTGCTGGGCATCACCAGGACCCTGCCAGGACTGTCCCCTTATTTCAGAGCTGTCCTCAGCCCCATCTTCCTCCGTGTGCCTCTCAGGAGCCCCAGGTGGGGCAACCCATGGCCCATCAGCCCTAGTCCTGCCAGCTGTCTTGTCACTGCTGTGGGCAGTGCCAGGTCACCACTTTCCCCTCTTGCTCCAGTCCTTGGGAGTGAAGTGCAGACACTTGGAGTCGATCCGAAGGAGCCGCTTGAGCATGGCCCGCTCGTGCCCATCCACGATGTCCTCTGACAGTGTGAGGATATACTGGCCCTGGTTAGGAGCAGCAGCAGGTGGTCAGCCCACGTGGTGCCTTCGCTCTGCCCCACACACCTGTCTCCCCTGCCCACCTGCCTACCTTGTAGTAGTTAATGAGGTTGAGGTATTGCAGGGTGGAGATGACATCCTCCTTCTTGATACTGGTGATTTCACTGATCTCGCTGTGGGAGGGCAAAGGTCAGGTCCCCTGAGGGCCTTAATTTGTCCCCAGGAGCCCCAGGAGGGAGTGAGAAAGCCCAGCAACAGACAAGGCCATGCCATGCACCCCCAGGCAAGTGGGGCCAGGCTCACTTGATGGTAATCTGTGGCCTCTCCCCGCTCTCAGACTTCAGCCCCATCAGGATCTCCAGGATGGTCTGGGACCAGTAGCTTCGATAGGATAGGAGGCCAAGGTCTGAGAGGGGCTTCTCGGGGGTCCCTGTTTTCCCTTCCACTTTGGAGAGTTCATAGCCTAAAACAATGGAGGAGAGGGTGGTTAAGTGGTCACAGATGGACACAAGCAACATTTAAAACCATGGGTTGCAGAGGTAGGCTGCCTTGTTCCATCCTGGCCCTGCCACTTGGTAGTTCTGTGACCGTGGGTATGTGGCTTCTCTGCTCTGTGCCTCAGTTTCTTAATAAAGGACTAATGAGTATTCACTCTTCACCTGTGTGCTGAGTATGTGAGGGGTGCTGACGGCACAGAGAGGAGCAGCTGCAGGGGGGTTCTGAGGAGCCAATGAAGGCTTCCAGGCAGCGGGAGTGCAGAGAAAATGGCTCATGGAAAAAAGTGCCACCGCTTTTCCTCTGCCAGCCCAGAATCTGGGCGTGTGAGAAGGAAACTGAGGCAGACGCCCATCCTTGGTCTAGGCCTGAGGATACTTGAATTCTCTCAGTGAAATCAGTCCCCACAGCTGTGACCTTGGGGCATCAGCTGCTCTAAGACCAGGGTGGCCTGACTAGGTGGTTGTGAGGATGCAAGGAGAGAAGGTGCTTCCCAAGTCAGAGGGAAGTCATCCGTCAGACCAAGTGGCTGACCTCCACAGCGGCTCTTTCTCTCCTACATGTGCTGGGCACTGGCAGGTACCTCCTGGCAAGATCCTCAGGCACCCACAAACCCAAGCAGCTTCATATCTCTTTGGCAGGTCTTCATTCTACCCTGTCAGGGGCATCTCTGCTACTTCTAGTAGAAGCCCTTTCTCACCCTCAGTCATAACCAGCCTCATAATGGACCTTAGCCCTTTCTGTTTTCCTGCCTTTGTTACATCTTTACTGGCCATTCTTACCCTCCTGCCCAATCTCCTGTGACTTCCACCAAGCAACCTAGTGGTGAGAGGACCAGAGAGGCTGGTTTTGGGGAAAGGAAGCACAGAAGGGGTGGGGTAAGCTTGGGTCCCTATTCAACTTTGCTGGGGCCACACTGCATATAGAGTTCTAACAGATCAACTGGAGGCCACACTCACTTCCTCAGCTACAGGGACTCCTGGCCCCTCCCCAATAAATACCCACCCACCCTCTGAGCTGCCTGGAATGGTGCTTCTGGTACCTTGCTGGACCCTGCTCAGCAGAACTGAGCATACCTCCTGGGTGGCACCACCCACACCCCATCTCCATTGAGGGCTAACCTCCAAGACTGAGTTAGACTGAGTTTAAGTATTACCTGCTCTACCAGGCTGAAAACTTCCTGAGGATGTGACCCATCTGGGTAACATTTGACCAATAAAATTTCTCAAATGGACCATGACCTTGATCAAGTCAAGCCTTCGTGTTTTCACCGGGCAAACAGCTAAAGCTTCCTCCCTGTCCCCCTGGATCAGAGCTTGGTTATTCCAAGGGTTCCATGAGTACCAAGGTGGATGGAATTGGGAGTGCGGATGGGAGGGTAAAAAGCAGGGAAGCATAAGGGAGCCCTGGGGTTGGGAGGGAAGTGAAGAGACTGACCTGACCAAATACAGGGAGCAGGGGACAAATCCAAGCTTACATCTGTTAACAGCACTTTAAACATGCACTGCCTACAAGTCTCAGGAGGACAACTGGGGAAATTTAACCACTGGTCCTTGCCCAAGGACTTGTATTGTGGCACGTAGTACCAGACAGATGAGCAATTGGCTTGTTAAGCTCCTGCCTATGGCCCTGGCAGAACAGATGAGTCAGATTTAGGAAAAGTTGGGTGTCACGTGTGGGGCTAAGAACCCGCCCCGCACAAGCCAGGAAGTCACCCTGAAAGGGGAGAGAACCTTGGTGGAGTGCCACCTTTATTTCTGGCTAGCACCCCTGGTGACGAGGCTGCACAGCCAGGGTTGAGATTCTCTGCACATGAGGCACCAGTAGTGGGTGCACTACCCACCAGTGGGAGAGCACACATACTCACTGAACTCAATCAGCAGCTTGCCGTAGCCCCGGCGCTGGTAGGGAGGCAGGGTTAGGATACAGGCCACATTGTAGTCTTCTGTTGATTCCTTCTCCTAAAATAGAGGGACAGGTGAGTGTGACAGAAGACCTGGCTCAGGGCAGAGCCAAGGGACAGCCTGGGTGAGCACTGACCTTGGAGAAGTAACCCACAATGTGGAAGCCCTTGCAGTCATACTCAGTCATGACGTAGAAGAGGAAGGGATCTGTGTCATAGTATAAGGTCTTGTGGTCGAGGAAACACTTGGCCAAAAGACACAAATTCTGGGAGTAACTCTGCAAGGGAAAAGGCCAGTAACCACTCTAGGTACTGGTCCTGAGCACAGTTGGTGGTCCAGGGTCAGCCAGGAGCTTCTCTGTGCTGGGCCCCAGGCCAAGAGACAAGGAGCCTTCCTCCCTGGGGCCTGACCCATACCACCAGTCAGACTATCTCCACTGCTTAAGCAGGGCCACTCCTCAGTGTTGAGGAAACCATGTATACCAGCTCCACGATGGTGTTCTTTCTTTTTTTGAGACAAGAGTCTCACTCTGTTGACTGGGCTAAAGTGCCGTGGCATCAGCCTAGCTCACAGCAACCTCAAACTCCTGGGCTCAAGCAATCCTCTGTCTCAGCCTCCCGAGTAGCTGGGACTACAGGCATGCGCCACCATGCCTGGCTAATTTTTTCCATTCTTAGTTATTTGGTTAATTTCTTTCTATTTTTAGTAGAGACAGGGTCTCACTCTTGCTCAGGCTGGTCTCGAACTCCTGAGCTCAAGCAATCCTCCCACCTCGGCCTCCCAGACTACTAGGATTACAGGCATGAGCCACCTCGCCCGGCCCATGATGGTGTTCTTGATCACCTGCCTCTCTGGTGAGCTGAACAGGTTCACCCCCACTGCTTCCCCTAGCTCCATCAAAGCCTGGCTAGGGATCTCCACTGCCCTCTGCTGTATTTAAGAACAAATTGACGTTGACTCCATAAAGTCAGACTCCTATGCTAAGGCTCCTGAGAGCTCTTCCTTGTTTGACAGTCTTGGGAGTTGGGCTGTCAAAAACCTAATACTCTATGCCCACAGTCACACCTTCTGGGAACTTATTTACTATTTTAAGAGAGAACTAAGGAATTCTGGAATTTAACAAAATAACAGCTTTAGGGGTTCCCCCAGCAAAATCATGGATCTTGCTGCTTTACTTCTGCATACAGTTTATCCTACATTTCAGACATGGCTTTTTAACTACCTACTACCTACTGGGCACTGCCACTTGGATGCCCAGGTCCACACTTACTACAAAATGAACAGTGGTTAGTGGAGCATCCTCATCACTCCCTTCCAAGAGCATTTTTTCTTCCTCTTTTCTCTGCCTCTTGCCCAGAATGATCTTTGCATCATCTCTGTACATCAGTGCCTGCCCCTCAGAACCCCACTGCTTGGAATTCCCTTAGCCATGGAATTTCCTAAGCCACTTCATTCTCCATGTCAAGGCTCAAAGACTACCTCCTTTAGGTCCTGCTGAGCACCCTGTTTCACCCTGGGATCTAAGTGGCCACCTGCATGTCTATCTCCCCCATGGACTATAAGCTGTCAGAGAACAGAGATTATGTCTAATTCCTGGTCATCTGTGTACCCTCCAGGACCTGCCCTACAACAGGAACTCAATAAAAACAGGCTGAACTGATGTCTTAGCCTGACTGGTCAGTGTTTTCCTGAGCAGGAAGAAACTGCTCATCTGACTTACTCCAGGACCCCACTGTTCCTCAGCTACTAACCTTGTTCTTACGTCCATCTATCTCAAAAAAAGAGATGGTTCCCTTGCGGTAAATCTCGTTGCCTGGGGGATGTCGCAGGTCGCACTTAGTCTGAGGAAGAGAGGATGATCAGGGAAAGGGCAGGGTCTGGGGTGGTGGGAGGGCAGCCCCCCCTGGATCCCTCATACCAAGTGACGCTGAAGACACTTGAGGCTACGGCCATACTTGAGGCAGAACTCGCACAGGTAGAGGACGGGCAATGTAGTGAGCTCCTGTGGGTACGGGGAGAAGTACCACGGCTTGAGGCGGTGCCGGCCCAGCTCGATGCACTCAATGTTCTTCATCCGGGTGACAATGTCGTCGTGGCTCCGGTCAGACACCAGGCTGCCGGTCATGCGTGGTGCTGATGGTATTCCATCTGAGCTATCCTGGGAGTCCTGCCCAGGGCCAGTAGAAGACACTAGATTAGAGGAGACAGCTCAACAGGACACCAGAGCTCATAGCCCCTTGACAGGTTTCCTTCTTAAAGCCTAATAGCAACCCTATGGTACCATAATCCCCCTTTTCCAGATTAAAAAAACTGAAACTTTGAGGGATAACTTGGAAAAGATCACCCAATGGCTGAACTGAACCATGCTTGGCCTGGCTCCTAATCCCACCACTGCCCACCACCCTTTGTTTTTTTTTTGTTTTTTGTTTTTTGTTTTTTTTTTTTTTTTGAGACAGTGTCTCGCTTTGTTGCCTAGGCTAGAGTGAGTGCCGTGGCGTCAGCCTAGCTCACAGCAACCTCAAACTCCTGGGCTCAAACAATCCTTCTGCCTCAGCCTCCCAAGTAGCTGGGACTACAGGCATGTGCCACCATGCCCGGCTAATTTTTTCTATATATATTAGTTGGCCAATTAATTTCTTTCTATTTATAGTAGAGATGGGGTCTCACTCTTGCTCAGGCTGGTTTCGAACTCTTGACCTTGAGCAATCTGCCCAACTCAGCCTCCCAGAGTGCTAGGATTACAGGCGTGAGCCACCGCGCCTGCCCACCCTACGCACCTTCTCTCTTTGCCAGTTTTTTTTTTTTTTTTTTTTTTTTGAGATAGATTTTAATTGTGTTGCCGTCTTGAGAGTGCCAGGCTGGTTTCGAACTCCTGACCTTGAGCAATCCGCCCGCCTCGGCCTCCCAGAGAGCTAGGATTACAGGCGTGAGCCACCGCGCCTGGCCACCCTTTGTTTTTAAACCAGTCACTGAGTTAACTCTCCACTCAGCCTACATCCCCTCCTCACACAGCTTCCCCCTTCTGCTGTTCCCCACACCCACCTCATCGGTGCCCAAGCAATTTGATTTTCGCTTCCGTCCTGGCTGAGCTGCCACTGCCCTACGGGCGGATCCATTCTGCAGATGAGACAGGTGGTAGGAATAGAAAGGTTGGCTGTGAGATGACCCTGAAAGGGGCTACCAGAGTGTAGAAGACAGGAAGGGAAAAAGAGATGGTTTGGGGAACTCACCTGGGGAAAAACTGAGGCCGGGGCTGTCTCGCTGGGCACCGGAGTTGCTGGTGAAACCACCTCCACCTTCCGTTTCTGCAGAGAGAAACCAAGAAAGGTGGGTCAGAAGGTAGGGAAGGTGGGACCTGAGAAGAAAGCAAGGTCCCTGGAATTGCTGAGGGTACCGTTGAGCGGTGGTTGGGCTGCAGGCAGGAGCTGGAGGAGAGCGGCTGGTCAGGCTCGCCACCGGGAATGGCCTCCCGCTCCTTGGGCAGGTTGAAGCGGAGTGTGATCTGGACCGGGATTGGCAAGGTCTTCCCGCTGGCCTGGGCGGAGGCCGGCTGTAGAGATAGGTCCAGGGTCTTCCTCTGGGGTGGGGATGGTGGTGGGATGGGAAAGGGAGGAGGGGCCCCTAAGCATGGAGTGTTCAAACCCCACCCTCTGGCCTTCTCAAGGACATAGGAATAGCTATTGGACTCTGGGAGCTACATCTGTAATTTGACTCCCATCCTCTGCATCTGAAGTTAGGGTGGGAGAATGCCGCCTCCTGCCCATCCAGGAGCCCGTAAGGCCAAGATATCAGAAAAATAGGCAGGAGAGAAGAGGTGAAGCAGGGGACCTACTCACCACCTCTCTCTCCGGAGAGCCGGGGCGGGACCCAGGAAGTCCGTTCTTGGTTGGAGTCTTGGCCTCTTTCTTGGGGAACTGGATCTTCTTTAGGTCCAGCCGCTCGTGGGTCACCCATTCATCCAGGCGTTTGTTGACTGCAGCAGTGGAGATGGCTCAGGAAGGAATGCCAGAGGCTGGCCCCCAACCCTACCCTGCAGCCCATCTCACCCAGGCCCAGCACTCACAGTCAATGTAATGAACGTAGAAAAGCTTCCGGCCACTGATGTCCTTCACGCTCAGGATCTCGGCCAGGGCTATGGGAATAGCACAGGCAGGGACCTTAGACTGGCCAGGCCATAAGGCTCCACCCTTCTACGACCTGAACCCCACCCCCAGACCAGATCCCTAACCCCCAGCACTTCGTAGCTTTCATCCAAGTCTCCTTCAGTCACCAAGCGCCACCCCTTCTCCAAAGCCCCGCCCTGTCCTCTGAACGGCTAAAAGCCACGCCCCTACTTTAGAATATGCGCCCCGCCCGACCCAGGATTCCAGAAGCCCCTCCCCCTCACGGGGGTTCTGTAGATTCCCCCCGCCCCTCGCCCTCTGGTTTCTAAGCCCCGCCCACCAACGTCACTCACGCCACTCATCTTCGTTGTCCTGGTTCCGCCGCAGCACGGGCAGGCGGCAGCCCTCGATTATCTCCCCCTGGGGAGACAGCGCGGCGCCAGGGTCGGCTACTGGGGGGCCTCGGGCTCTACCCACCTCCCCTGGCTCCCTCCGCCCCGCCCCGGGCACCGGACTCACCACCTCCGCCATCTTCCCTCCCTCCACTGCCACTTCCGGCCCCTCTGGGAGACGTCACTTCCGGGACCGAGCACGCCGCAGGCCGCGGTCCACCGAAGCCCCTTTAGAAGAAGACCTTTGGGAGATGCCGCGACCCAGCTGCAAACGGATAGCTGTCCCGTCTGGTTGGCGGGAGAACTGGGTGTTTTAAGCCTCTGACCTGGTCCTGGGTGGAATCTCCACAACGTGCACAGCGATTGGAGGAAAACTGAGTCCGTCACGTGACGCCCACCGAGTGCGCCGCGTGTCACGTGGCACTAGTGTTTTGGCTTTGTCTCAGGGCTGTGCTCTGGCGTCTCCTAGCGGCGACGGGAGGCGTCTCATGTAGTGAACTGCGCGTGCTCGGCTGCGTCGGCCTTGAGTGCGGGAAGCAGCTATTTGAGAAGCTGGAGGAGTGAGTGTGACAGAATGGGCTTGAGTGGCTGGTCGAGTGGGTGGCCTTCATTCCTTAGGCATGGGGACACACGGAAACTACTGGCTTTGTTATCTTATATATTAGGTTTCTAATTTTTAAAATAGTACGTGCTTTATTTATTAATACATTTAACAATACTTACTGAGTCCCTCCCATGTGTCAGGCACTATTCTTGAAGTCTGGAATACATCAGTGAATAAAATAAAGACCTCTGCTTTCATGGAGCTTGCATTCTTTGGGGTTCATAGGGAAGAGATGGGTATGGATAATAAATATATATTAAAAAGTAAATTATTTAGTCTGTCAAAGAGTGATAAGTGTTATGGGAAACCAAAAAAATTGAACATACTACTGGGGACTCCATGAAAAAAAAATTAAACAGGTAAAAGAGGGGGCAGGCAGGCTATGATTTTAAATAGAGTGCTCAGAACAGGCCTGGATGAAAATATATTATTTGAGCAAAAGATTTAAAAGAGTGAAGGGGTGAGCCATACAGATACCTGGGGGAAGATGGTACAGAAAAACAGGCTGCAAGAAGGGGGAGGAAAGTATAACCTCACATCATTACCGTGAAATGTCCGCGGTGAGTTTTGGCCAAGTGTCTTATAGACCAGGAGTGGGCAAACGATGGCCTGTGGGCCAAGGCCAGCCCTCTGCTTGTTTCCTTACTGCCCACAGAGTAAGAATGACTTTTACACTTATAAGTGGTTGGGAAAAAAACATTTCATGACATGAAAATTAAATTTAAATTTCAGTGTCTATAAATAAATTTTTGTTGGAACACAGCCACATTAATTCATTTACATATTATCTATGACTCCATTCACATTAAAACTGAATAGTTGTGTCTGAACTATATGGTCCACAAAACCTAGGATGTTTGCTATCTAAAATGTTTGCTAACTCTTGCTTTAGACTATTGTGCTAACTGGTAAATTGGTTCTGAATGTGTATACTGTTCTGTGATTGGCTTGTTCACTTAACAGTGGAAATTGAACACTTGTTACTAAATATTCCATAGCACTATTTTAATGGCTAAGTAGTATTTTGTTGTTTAGATGGAACTTAGCTGCCATAACCACTTTCCTGTTGAATATTCAAATTATTTCCAATATTCCCTATTGTAAACAATGCCACAAAGAGCATCGTTATACTTACAGCTTTCCACATATTCATCCCAGCATGATTTGCAGTGAAGATACAAGTGGGGCAGGCTATATTTGCATTTCAGAAAGATCACCCTGATGGCAGTATCCTTCGATTGGAGGAGGTAAAACCAGAAGAAGAGACCAATCAGAAGGTGCTGAAATCAGCCATTCACTGATGACAGTCAATAATGTTTGTCCAGGGCCTGCTAAATATTGCAGTAAGCACAGTTTTGGTCCCTGCCCCCTTGCAAAGTCACCAGTGGCCTCCCACATTGCGAATCCATTGGCCATTTCCCAATCCTCACAGGCATTTGCCATGGTTGGCCACACACTCATTCTTGAAGCACTCTTCTTGTCTTCCCAGGACACCAGACCTTCCAGTTTCCTTTCGACTTCCCTGGCTCCTCCATATCTCCTTTGCTGGTTCCTCTTCCTGTCCCTGACCTCTGAACCTTAGCAGGCCCAGGCTCAGTCCTGGACTTCGTCTCATATTCACACTCCCTTTGTCATTGCCTTGAGGCTCATGGCTTTAAATATAATTCATATGCTGAGGTTTCTCAGATTTGTATCTTCAGCCCAGATCTCTTCCCTTAGCTCAACTCTCACTGACCACTCGGAATCTCCATTTGGATGTCTACAGGGTATGTCCGAAATCAGACTCCTGAGCTTCCTTCCCAACCATCTCTCGTGTTTCTTTCACCATCTTTCATGTTCCTGTCAATGACGACATTATCCTTCCTATTTCTCAGACCAAAAGTCTTAAAGTCATCCCTGACTTCTCTGCTGCTCTTCCGTTCAATGTGTCAACAGATGCTCTTGGGTCTACCATTCTCATAGCCTTTGCCACTGCCACTCTGGGCAAGCTACCACCGTCTCTTCCCAGAACTATTATAATAGCTTCATATGTAGGAACAAGATCCTTTAATCCTGAATAAAATATAATTCAGACTATATCGCTCTGATCACAATCCACCAACAGTTTCTCATTTACTTAAAAACACAAATCCACCCTCCTCTTCTTCCCACCCCCCATCGTGGCTCCTCCTCCTGCCCCCCTGGCTCATTGGGATCCAGCCACATTGGCCTCCCTGCTGTCTGTAGGACATAGGAGGCACATTCCTCCCTGGGTCATTTACTGCTTCCTACCTACGACGTTTGCTTTCATTTATCCACTTGGTTTTCTCCTTCACTTCATTCAAGTCTTAGCTCAAATGTCACCTTCCCAGGCTTTTTGACCTCCTGATTAAAGCTGCCCACCCCCTCCCAACTTCATTTTTTTTTTCTTTCTTTCTTTCTTTTTTTTTTTTTTGAGACAGAGTCTTCCTCTGTTGCCCTGAGTAGAGTGCCATGACGTCAGCCTAGCTCACAGCAACCTCAAACTCCTGGGCTCAAGCGATCCTTCTGCCGCAGCTTCCTGAGTAGCTGGGACTACAGGCATGCACCACCATGCCCGGCTAGTTTTTTCTACACATATTTTAAGCTGTTTGGCTAATTTATTTCTATTTATAGTAGAGATGGGGTCTTGCTCTTGTTCAGGCTGGTCTCCAACTCCTGAGCTCAAATGATCCACCCACCTCAGCCTCCCAGAGTGCTAGGATTATAGGCGTGAGCCACTGCACCCAGCCCTTCATTTTTCTATGCAGCACTTATTCCCATCTGTCAAATAATATATTTTCCTTATTGCCTTATTTACTGCCCTTCCCTCACCAGATTGTAAGATCAGTGAGTGCAGCATTTATATTGTTTTTTCCACTGCTACTCTCCCGGCTGCTAGGATATTGCCTAACTCCTAGTAGGTGTTCTGTTAAAGACTGTCAAAAGGATGAGGCACAGAGCCTCACCAGGGAGCCAGAGGTATGCACTGACAGTTCTTCGGGGAATCCTGTACAATGGCAAGGAAGCCCAGGGCATCCATCAAAAGAGACACTGACCCAGGTGGGGGGTCCGGGAAGGTGTCTCTGAGCATCTGTGTCTGACCTATGACTTAGAAAGGGGTTGGAGACATTCCATGCAGGGGGGACAGCAATAGCAAAGACAGAAAAAGAGGACAAAAGAAACAGCCAGGTTAACCAGGCATCAGTTATTGAACATTAATTGAGCACCAACTATGTGCGACACCCTGAAGGAGCAACGTGAGCAAAGCCAGATGAGGCCCCAGTTTTGGTGGGCAGCTATGAACAGCTAAACAAAGCAAATCACAATCCTATTGGATAGTGTAAAGTGCTGCAACAGCAATAAAACTGTGTGATCTGGCCAGGAGCGAGGGACTGGTCAGTGCGGGCCACTCTGAGGCTGTCAGTCAGACACCTACTCAAGCTGGCTTAATAGGGAAGGTCTTGGGTCAGGTATTGCAAAGGAATGCAGGACTTCAGGGATGGCTTTGTCTGGGGACTCAACAATGTTATCACCAGCACAGTTTCTTTTCTTTTTTTGAGACAGAGTCTTGCTTTGTTGCCCAGCCTAGAGTGAGTGCTGTGGCGTCAGCTTAGCTCACAGCAACCTCAAACTCCTGGGCTCAAGCAATCCTGCTGCCTCAGCCTCCCAAGTAGCTGGGACTACAGGCATGTGCCACCATGTCCGACTAATTTTTTTCTATATATATTAGTTGGCCAATTAATTTCTTTCTATTTATGGTAGAGACGGGGGTCTCGCTCTTGCTCAGGCTGGTTTCGAACTCCTGACCTCGAGCAATCTGCCCGCCTCGGCCTCCCAGAGTGCTAGGGTTACAGGCGTGAGCCACCACGCCCGGCCCCACAGTTTCTGTCTTTCCGCTCTGGCCCCCTCAGAGTTACTCGTGAAGGCTGACTCCTCTTGTGGCCACTCACAAGGTGGCCGTTCACAGCTGTAGGGCCTATGTGTGTCCTGGACTTTCCTGGGATTGAACCATTTTAGGACATGTGCCTCTGCCTCAGCCAACCCCTGTGGCCAGGGAGGGTGGAAGATCACTGCTTTAAACAAAGCAGGGCCCACCCGTGCAGCTGGGTTGGGTCAGTACCCTCCAAACAGTGGGTGTTACAGCTGGTGGTGGAGTCGGGGACAGCCATTGAGAGGCAGCCAGGATGTCTACTGCAGGAGATGACATGTAACATGAGGCCTGAATGATGAGAAGGGACAGCCTTGGAAGATTTGGGTAAGATGTGTTCCAAGCAGAGAGAATGGTAAGTCCAGAGGTCAAGGCTGGGGAGGGGCTGGGGGACAGCTAGGTGTGCTCAAGAAAAAAGAAGCCAGTGTGGTTGGGGCTCAGGGGGAGGAATGTGACCATCCAGGGGGCAGAGAGCTGGCAGGGCCTATCATGGGGCTTCTGATGGCACTTTTATAATGAAGTCAGATTTTGCTTTAAGTGCAAATGGGAAGCCATGGGAGAATTTGGAGCAAGGAAATAATGTTATCCGAGTAAAGCTTTAAAAGACAACTGAGGGAATGAGAGCAACTGGGGACACACAGGAGCAGCAGCAGCTTGAGTCCAGCTAGAAGGTTCTTGCAGCTGTGGAGGCCAGGGCCGAAGGTGGCTGGAGGTTTAGGTGTGACCAAGCATGCAATGAGAGAGGGCCTGGCGGGGACGTGAGGATGGGCCTTGGACCTGTTGGGGAACAGCAGTTCTCCATCTCCATCCGGACCCAGATCTCCAGATTCTGTAGGAAGAGAATTCTTATTCCATAACTCATTGTCTCTTCGCT